CTTTTGAGACTACCAGTAATTCAGTAGTATGAGAGGTATTTACCCAATTTCGTTTAAGGTGATGAAGGACCGGTAGAAATTGGGTGAATACATCCCATACTACTGATTAACTGGTAGTCACGAGAACAATAGTTAATTCTTCATTTCAGCCTGGCAACAATCGGCTTCGATCCACATGGCGCGAAACAGCATGTGGTCTAACAGATAGATGGGCTTCGAGACGGTTCAGGCAGTTGGTGTAGATCATTTCTCGCGCCAGTTCACTCCACGTGTGCTGATGGGCGAATTCTGCAATGGCCACTGCACGGTTGTGGAGCCTTCAACGGGGAAATGGGCACTTTTCAGATGAGGCAAGGGAAAGTTGCTTCTTGTCACTGGAAACCTGCCAACTCGTCACGATCAAGCAGAGGTCAGGCGTCAAATTACTTACCCAATGGCGACTTCTCCGGCGAGACGAGGCGGATCACGAACGGGTTGCCGACCGGCAGAGAGCGGATGAATGCGGCCACTTCGAAGTGCCGCTTGCCGACGAGATTCACGTTGTTCACGCGCTCGATGTGATCTCCGGCGTCGAGGAAGCCGCCGGCAGCGGTGACCGACATGGCGAAGGAACTGTCGTTGCGGATGCGTTTGATGAAGGCGTAACCGGCCCCATTGTCGGTGATCGTCAAGCCTAAGGCCTCTTCATTCTTTAAAAGCGTGTACTCTTTACGTTGGCCCTTCAGATGGGCGAAAATGAAGTCATCAACCGCCAACTGGCCGCATAAAAGACGATCCATGTCCAGTTTGTGAGTGTTGAGAGTGCAGAATAAAATCTGAGGATGAAGAAGGAAATCAAGAATGCTTAAAGTTTGGATGTCAGAATGGACGCAACATTGATTTGAGCAGGTGAAGAATGCGGCTAAAAGTCGGACGGTTGTCTACCAAAGGCAAATTTGACTTAAAGTATGTCATGCTTTGCGCCAAGTATGCCTGCAATCCGGAGGGTGCAGGTACCAAACAATGTTTTAAAACAAGTTGTGTCCGGTAAGAGTGTCTTGTCTGCGCTCGCTTCGATGCGTCGAGTTTTCATACAAACGATCGGGTTGTTTCGGCTGTCCTTGGTGCCCAACTTCTGACGTTACGCATTCATGTGAGGGTGTCATTTGTACGAAATAGAGCCGAGTTGTGGCGGCAGTAATATTGGAAGTGGCAGAAAGCAAAGTAGAAACATTTCTGTAAAATAATCCCATTTTTAACGTCGATCTGACTCAATCTCATCGAAAGAGGAACGCCCCAATGTGAAAAAGTAAACCAAATGTGCAGACATCCTCGTTGGTACCATGTCAATTGGAATCCTTCCCCATCCTCTCTTCCACTGGCTATTGCTGGTCAATACGCTTTTGTGCTTCAGTAACTTTTTTTGAACTTGTAGCCCAACTTACAATACCTTTTCTCTTCAAATTGTCATCGCCTGTCGGGCACTTTCTCATCCTCTTCTGGCTCAGATTTGTCCC